CCGACAACTTGCACGCCTGCGGAATAAGGAACAGCAGTCCATCGACGCTCGACGCTACAACTTACGCCGCTGCCATACGGAATACAAACCGTGACCGCGTGTGGATTTGGACCGCCATTCGCCGCCGAGGACTCAGCGAAAAGTTGTTGTGCCGTTATTTTGGACCTTACAAGGTCATACGTCGTGTTAGTCACCTAGTTTATGAAGTTGTCCCCGATGGCGCGACGACACCGCAACGGCGCTGCGCTAACCCAGAACTTGTGCATGTCGTGCGCCTTAAACCTTATACAGGCGGTAATAGATTTTACATTTTGCAATGTCAACTGCGAATTTTTTATCTTTCTTTTTTTTCTCGTGTGTTCTTATGACACTGTTCTCGGTTTTCAATGTTTGGTCTTTTAAGCATCAGGCCGATGCTTATTTAAAAGGGGAGTAATGCCGCATCACTTGCCATTCTTATCGCTTTGCTTGTGACGCAAATGGCAACATGTTTTCTAAGCGCTGAAAGGATACATGTCTGTTTTTGCGTGCATCATCAACCAGTGCTATAAACGTCGCGGACGATTCGGGTTTGCATACAGCGAGTTTCATTCCAAACACTGCAGGCTGCATTGAGGTGTTGATTGCCCACACACATGTGCTTCCGTTAGCTACTGACACCACACAATGGGAAACTAAAATTTCTTTTTCACACAGGCAAAACGAATTGTTTCGTGTATGGCGTTGGACACGGCAATGTTGTTATAAGACAGTGGAACGCCCATGGCATGGAAGGCTGGAACGATCATGTCCACGGAAACAACAAACGAGCCGTCATCACGGGATGAATCCTCCAAGCGCGCAGCAAGAAAACTACTGCGCGTGGAAAGGTGCCCGCTTTTGTAGTCTACTGTTGCTCCACACTTCAGCAAAAAATCTATTCCCAAAATAACATGTAAGAATTGCACAATAATATAAAATTTTGTGGGAAACACTTTGCTGCACTAGGACGCATTGGCAGTGCAAACTCCCACAGGACACAACGTGTCACCACTCACACCGTGGAATGTCACACCACTTTTCAAAAAAAACATCCCCTTTGGGCCAATAATGTTTTTTTAAAATTTAGACTCATCACACAAATAGTCACCCCGCAATATACGAGGGCCGTGGTACATACGTCGTCATCAAGCACGTGAACACACTGATAAAGGAATACCAGATAATAATGCCCGAGGTCCTGCAGCCTCACCTTCATTGGCCGCACCGAATACTTATCCGGCGGTGCTGATTGCGTGCGACACCGCGGGGATGGGAATCGTGGAGCACGTGGAGTTGATTGCGGAGCCACGCTTCGATCGAAGGCTGTTGACAGGTAGCGTAAACCGGCAGGCGTGCGTGATGGTCCTGGCATAGAGTACCTGTGGTCAAAAGGCTTGGTAGCCATGGGCAGCGGTTCTCGCTCGTATGAAGGACGACAGTTGCAAAAACGTGATATATGGCCCAAGACACCACAGCTGTAGCACACGGGCAGAGGTCAAGACGCTTGTGGCTGCTCAGAGTAACCAGTCTTCTAAGTGGGCTTAGGAGGGTAGTAACGCTCTTCACGGGCACCGTAGCCAGCCGATATCCGCTGAGAGAAAAGAGGTGGATGCAAGCGTTGTTCGTCATTGGAGGGCGGTTGGTACAAAAAAAAACAGATTCCCGTGTGCCTCCGCACAATTATTCGGGATATGCCGAGTTAGCCAATGGCTGCCATGGAGCTAGAGGAGCTGGAATTTGTGTGGGTTGTGGGCCTCGCACGTAGCTGTCCTGATAGTTGCTAGGGCCTCTAGAGACGTGGGAGATTAACTGACATCGGAGAAATTCTTCTCCTACACTCTGCCGGATTGTCGACGCGAGGTCATCTGCCGAAATGGTGTCGGCACTAGCCACCGTAAGGATGTTAGAGAGGTGGCCAAGTTTCAGCGCTATTCGCCGCAATTTCAGCATTTCGAATGTGTGACAATGCTTCACAACGTCGGACACAAAGGTCATGATCTATTTTCCTATTATAAATTATTATATTTCGCCGAACCTTTCAAAACGTGTCCAACTTCATGCTCTTCAGCCATCCTGTCATTCACTGTAGTACAGAGCTTCGATATTTCTTCAATGTACGCGGTACATATCTCTCTGGTAGCTGTGCCCTCTGAGCCAATGTCTGCTCCGCCCACTTCTTCTTCGTGGTGGATACTCCAAAGCACCTTTTTAATTCTTCAGCAAAACTATCCCAAGATGTGAAGATGTCTTTGTGACACCCGAGAGCTGTGTCAGTTAATGAAAACTCAACATGGCTTAGCTTTTCTGTCGTGTCCCAGCAATGCTTTGCTTACCGTCGTATATTTTTTCAGCCAGTGTCATCCACGTCTTCGGCAGACGTCCCACGAAAGTTTGGTGTAACCCGGCTGTATGGCAGGGAACCCATCGGAATCGCCATCGAAGCACCGGGGTCCTGGTCCTGGGACATCTCGTTAGGCGATGGCGGGAGTCTGGCGAGGTGGTCGATGCAGTGAAGTCTGGGTAGTAGTGCTTCCGTCGTCGGGTTCACCATACCCACCACCTTCCACCAATGTGCTATGCGCGAAGGAAAGGTTTAAAGGAGAAGTTTAATGAGAGCGGAAGAACGAAAGACCATGGTGATCACTGAAGCAGCGTCATCGTTCTCCACTTCTCCAGCTTGCCTTGGTTTCCACTTGTAAGTACGCTTCTTCGTAATAATATTGTACTCTAAATAACAGAAATGCGTCGTATCTCATCACTAAGAACATCATAAAGTGCATAGTAGCTTTCAGAATTCAGAAGACGCGGTAAACTGTAAATGTAGTAGCGTTCGCTGAAAGCGTAGGAAAACAGTAACCATGTGAAACTACTTCAAACAAAGCCTGTGCATACTTATTATGTACGTCGAAAAGCGCAAATCCGCCACCGCCGTCGCTTTTTCTCATGGAGCAGCTCCGAAACTTTTCCGAAGTACGTTCTTGTCCAGGTTTTGTACGTAAGGCGGACCTTAGCGTTAAACTGTGATGGAAAAGAGGACTATCACAGCAAGAACCATACTTGCCCAGACGCTGACACTGTCCGGAACGAAAATACCAGCCTTAACGTTGGTGACCGTGTTAGCTTCAGAATATCCCAATTGTTCTCGTTAGGTACTGAAGACTATTGTTTCAGAAAAAATCCCACTTGTTCGCATTAGGTACTGAAGCTAATCAGAACAATCGAAAGAATAAAAATAAATATCACAACAATTACGCAATCGAAACAAAAATGTTACACACCCCGCCCGGGACAGTGCGCGCGAAGTAGTGCTTACAAGTGTCACCGGTTGCCGGTTGGTAATAGGAAAATACAAAAGTAAGAAAGCGTGGCATTGCCCCCCCCCCCCGCCCTGAAAAAGCATAGTCTCTTTGCGTTAAAGGAAACAATGAAAAAGCAAAAATGCTGGCACAGGAACAATAATAACAATAATAAAGAAAGTAAGACGTTTGGTATAGTGTTCCCTCACACGTATCAGATGCCTTGAGGCACGCGACGTCGAAAACTAGCGATCATGTGCGAAGGCCTTGAAAGTTTTTATTGCCGTCCGTGACTACCACGTAGTTCAGATGCTGAGACGTCAAAGCAACTCTAATGGCCCTAATTATCGCTGAGAAAACTGTTCGCTTAGTTCATGCTGGTCAACAGGCCCTCGCAACGTGTCCGTATTGTTTTTTTTAATGTGACACCATCGAATATTGTCTTTGAAATTGTCATTTTCACGAAAAACTCCAGGACACGCTATGTTCAATCATGCATCAGCCAAATAAAGAGCTTTTCTTTTTCTCCTCAGATGAGGAAATTGACTTTGTTTTCTACGGCCACCTTAGGGTCATTGACGTGAAATCAGTCTAATTCGGGAACTGCACCATCATCCCGAGTAATGTCACAGCCTTTCCAATGCACACTACGCTAGTGAAAGCATCTTCAAAGTCGGTTCGGAAACTTGTCCAGATACCGTATACTTACCAAAAAAAGAAATTGCAGGACCCTTAAATTTCGCCTTTAATAGCTGAACCCGAAAGCGATATTCTGACCCTAAAGCATTCTTCAACCACTTTTGGAACACTTTCTATTGCATAGTGTTACTCGAGCAGTACGAATTGTGGATCACCACAATGCACTCGGTGAAGTTGAAAGCGGCTTCTGTCAGTGAAACTTTCGCATATGGCGACATTCCGTTGGTTGCATGTTTAATCGCAGTATACGAGCAATACGCTTGATATCTTCCCAAACTTAGAGAGAACCCATTGTGTGGCATTAAAGGAATACGTGCCGCAACGTGTATAGTTTTTTTAATAAGGTGGCTAGCTTCAAACAATCAAGTCGTTATTATAATCACATGTCTGTAAGCTAGATGCTTGTACCACACAATAATACTGCGATGTTGTTCGATGTATTGTGAGGCATTTATGCAAAACGTGTGTGTTGGTAAAGCATTAAAGTTATTTTCACTTAATTTCCAAGCAGAGAAAGGTATTTTAACTGCACTTCCAAGCAAACGCCTGGCTGTGTGATAGAATACCTGCTTGTTACGCAAACGTCCTAAGGTCGATCCTCGCCCGAATCTAAGAATTTTGACTATTTATTTTATTCACAGCTTTCTCTAGTTATAGTGACACACTATAAGATAAACTTTTTTGCTCACAACTAACGACGCGCAGGCCACAAAATGAGCTCTTTAATTTTCGCGAAACGAACTTCTTGACACTATCGCCTTAACACACGGGACGAAGACCATCGTGGCCAGCCAGGGCCGCGAGGGAGATGTCCGCGAGACGCATGTGGCCTGTGGACTACGGGTTTGAGAACAAGGGGCTCGTATAAGTATCATGAAACTAATGAAATTTCTTTTCCTTCATTGTCACAACAGCAACTTTCCCATATAGCTTACTAGGAGTGAGTGCAAATGAGCGAAGTGAAAGTGCGATGCAATGACTCACCTCGGAAATTTTTTCGCATGAAGCAGAGGACACATTTCGGCGGGAATGCTGCCAAATCCACATGCCATCAGGACCAAGGTATTCTTATTTCGAGCCTCGTCATAGAATTCAAGCAGCATTTGCTCCATGTACTGAAAGGGAAAAAAATACAAGAAATTTATCCAGTTCAATGCGGCAGATACTAAGCATGTACTAAGCAGAAATAAAGTATTGCTTCATGCAGTGTTGCAGTCCTATATTTAACTCCCCAAAAGAGTCGTTAAGGTCGCTCTCCATAAAGCAGCTTTGTCATTAAAGCCGCGCATGTAAAGTTCTGCTGTTTTTCTTTTGTCTAGTTTTGTAGATGCTTCTGCATCTTTCTCCTGAGCTTCTAGTGCCATCACAGGCCAGTCGCTACAACACTAGGGTGTGTCACGAAATATGGCGACCTCAGTGACTCGACCTAAACTGAGCCATTAATTCCGTCTTTGCTGTGGTGTGGGATCTCAGCTTTGGCGTATGCACTTCGTACCATGCATTCTAGCGAGACAGAGAGTCGATGGCATTGAAATGGGGAGCCAATCTTGGCACAAAATGGGAAAGCACTGTCACTCACTTGCACTTCTGCACTGACATCGATGTGATGCGTACCGCTGTTGACACAGGCTGCTACCACCGAACGTCCAAAAAAGCGGTACTGAAATAGAAAAATCCGTGGTAGCTCAGTAGTTACAGCATAGAACGCGTTATTCGAAGGTGGTAGGTTCGATTCCTGCTCACGGCTGGTTATTTTTTCATCCACTTTTCTTTCTTCTTACTTACATTCAATTGGTTCAAATAACTTCCCCTGTACATTCCTTGGCATTACTGTCTGTTAGATCTCATTGATATTGTGTTAAAACACGGAAAAACGAGCCCTTAGGTATACACTTCTTTCCCTTATATATATATATATATATATATATATATATATATATATATATATATATATATATATATTATATATATATATATATATATATATATATATATATATATATATCTGCATTCATACATACGTACCCTTTCGTACAAAAAATACAAATGGACGTAATCCTTGGGTTACACGTAACATCATCCACAACACTGGTTAATAGGCTAAGAGAACACTTGAGAACGAATTCCCAGCCAAATAGCAAGAACTCGCTCACGATATCAATAAACATTATAAAGGCAAAAGTGAAAACAGCTAACAATAATCACTTTCGTAACACCCTCGATACCTTTCTGAAGTTTTCTCAGCGAAAATTCTGGCATTACATTTTTCCACATCCCAACCCCAGTGCGGAGTCAGCGCTGAAAGATGGAAAAAGAGCTAACGTACTGAATAAGTAGTTTGATTCCATTTTCACAGCCAATGACGGTCACCTACTGCTCTTTGAAACTTCTGATGGCATACCTATAACATAGCAGCTTCAAACATAGATCAGTATTATATCATGCTACTCCAGCTTGATTTCCATCTACTAACAAATATTAACCATCACAGAGGGAGTGCAAAGGAAACCGATTGGGTTAATTTTCAATGAGTATCCACTCAGACTCTCCAAGTGCTTTATTCGAATCGGCCGGATTACTGACATTTGAAAATCGCGCTATGCTAGCCCAATTGAAATCGCTTCATCAATTATTTCTTCGCAAGCTAAATGTTAACCGTTCTAAACACATCTCTATTGTAGAGACACTGATAACTTGATTAAGGCACTCATCGTAAGTGAACATTGTTTTTTTTTTCGAAAGTGCGCCGAATGGCACACAATTATATATACTGTTGGAAGCCAGTTTTCCCTATAAAAATAAACAATATTTTCCCCTATAAACAAGGTGAGGCCCATACAGCCGCACATCCTAGTCTGGGAGCCTCATCTGATGGAGGCCCACTGCTCTCAGTTAGCGCCATTGTATCTGCTTCAAGTCAGGGTATGTTCAGTGCAAATGTTTAATTGTAGCCGTGGACGCTACAGTGGTACAGAATGAGCAAATATCCCCAAATGGTCTATGCAAATGTTGTGGCCCAGCATATGTGACTGACGGAGTAAGCGCCGCCATACGAAGTTTCCACAGCACCGCCCCATCCTAGCGGGTAAGGCCACAGGAGAGGTTTGAATAACACGGTGGAATTAAGCGCCGTGTGGTGTGGCGAAAAATCTCTTGCGGTGGAGGAAAATACGCTGGGGATAGTCCCTCGTATACAACCTCACGGCCGTAAGGTTGTATACGAGAGACTATTTAGGGTGGGCTCGGTGACTGCACCACAATGCAGCCATCTAATCCACTTACCTTTGCAATGCAGACGACCATACTTGTGTTTGCCAGCCTGCAGCTGTCGAACATGATAGGCCTATCCTCGGGGGCGTCATCTATGTTGGTGCTGCCGGGCTCCGAAAGCGAGCCAGGCTCCTGCCGCCTACTACGCACCAACTGCTCGTCCCCACCGGATATTACGTCGGAGGAACTACTATCACCGGAAATCACCGTGCTATGGAAGGCCGCATCGTCATCAACCACAGCATCATCAAGTATAAAGGAACATCACCCGCTGACGCCACTTCGTGGGCTCGGTGACTGCACCACAATGCAGCCATCTAATCCACTTACCTTTGCAATGCAGGTTAGTAAATCGTATGTCCTCTTCGCTAAAAAGTCGAGTAATTACTTCCTGGTGCAGTTCCCGAGCCCCCACTGCTGTATTGCTATTGCTGTTGAGTGTGCTCATATGATTCACTCGTTGCTGATCTTATCGGGTGACGTCGAAACTAATCCTGGCCCTAACGGAAAACGCTGCTATTCTTACTGAGCTACAAAAGCTAAGTGCCGGCCAGGCCCAGCTGATTGCCGAAGTTCAGAGTTTGAAATCTCAACTAAGCACAACGGATAAAAGAATAACAGACTTAAACAAACGAATGGGCGATCTCGAAACACATTACCAAACTCTTCTTCCCCTCAGAAATGATATCGAAAAAACACAGGCTAACGTAATCAACATGACTAAAAAAATTCAAGAGCTAGAAACTTCCCTGGATGACGCTGAAAACAGGTCGCGCCGGAATAACCTTCTATTCTACGGCATCCCTGACCCCACTAGGAATGAAACGTGGGCTGAATCTGAAAAAATGATAATCGATATCTGCAACAATAACCTTGGACTAACAGTGCAGCCTAACGACATAGAACGCGCACATCGTCTCGGTATTCATTCACTAAACCGAAATCGTCCCATAATTGTGAAATTTTTATCATACAAAACCAGAGATGCACTTTTATCAAACGGCAGGAAACTGAAGAACACTAACTACAGCATCGGGGAGGATTTTTCCCGCCTCGTTCAATATGCGCGCAAGCAATTACTTGCATTTGCAAAAGCACGTTCGGACAAGTTCTCCTTGCGGTTCAAAACACTGCACGTCGGGTCGAAGCGCTATATATTTGACGCATCATCACACATGGTTAAGGAAATTGCATAGTGGTTACCCCGCCAACAAAGAGCAATAAAACGCCAAACGGCTTCCCCATGTCATGTTCTCTCGTTTTCCGTAATATTCACTAACATACGTAGCCTTCTTCCAAAACGTGAACTCATATCTAACATTATCTCGTCATCAAAAAGCAACATACTCGTATTAACCGAAACGTGGCTTACCAGCGATATAACGGATGCGGAAATATAACTGACTTACAGGACTTCCACGTGTACCGAAATGACCGAAATGGCTCACGGGGGGGCGGAGTACTTATCGCAGTTCATCGGGGCATATCTTGCTCCGTTGTTAACGCCGATACCGAATCCCTGTGGCTAATTTGTCGTACTAACACCATAACTGTCCTACTTGGCGTCTGCTACAGGCCCCCGCAAACGGATCCAAATTTTCCATGTCATCTGAACAATTCCATTCAAAAACTTACTTCCGCTTACCCAAAGGCTCGCATTCTTCTGTTCGGTGATTTTAACTACCCTAATATTGACTGGCAAAACATAGTTACTTCTACATTATCATGTCACGCAGAGGCGAAAAACTTCCTCGATGTATGTCTCAACTTTAACCTTACACAATTAGTCGCCCAACCAACCCGTGTCACACGAGGATCAGCAAATATTCTCGACCTGATATTAACCAATAGCCCCGAGAACCTATTATCTATTACTTACCTTCCTGAGATCAGCGACCACAAGGTCATACATGCTTTATTTTCATTTACCTCGACCAAAAAACAGGCGACTAATAAAACAATTGTTCTTTATGATAAGGGTAACTATAGTGCAATATCTGAAGATCTCAGTAACTCTTTTAATCAGTATGAATCTACATTTCACACGCGCTCAGTTCATGACAACTGGTTGATCTTTAAGGACAAAGTAAATCACCTCTCTGATATGTTTATCCCGAAGATTACTTTTCAAACTAACCGCAATAAACCATGGTTTTCTCGGCATTTAAAAAAACTTGAAAACAAAAAGAAACGACTTTTTCGTACCGCCAAACGCAACGGCAAGCCTACTGCATGGCAAAAATACATCGAAGCTGAAAAATCATATTTGCTATCTGTTCGTAAAGCTAAATACTCGTTTTACCATATAGACTTACCTAATCTCTTAATCAGGAACCCCAAGCAATTCTGGCAAGTTCTAAACCCCACACATCCTTCCGATATTACACTAACGAATGATTCACACGAGACAGTGACTGACCATGATTGCGCAGAAATATTCAACGAAGCATTTGCATCTGTCTTCACTACTGAACTTGACATGCCCTCACAGTCGCCATCATTTAGCGTAGAAACTTTCATGCCTGCTGTCACCTTCTTCGAAGAAGGCATTTCATCTATAATCCACAAATTAAAACTTTCTTCATCAGCTGGTATGGATTCCATCAACTCGAAACTCCTCAAGAATGTGAAATCGACTTGCGCAGCATACTTATGTCTTATCTTCTCACAGTCACTCACCTCAGGAATCATGCCGGATGATTGGAAAACGGGCAAGGTCGTTCCAGTCTACAAATCAGGTAACAGAAACTCACCCTTGAACTACCGCCCCATTTCATTAACCAGCGTGCCTTGTAAGATCATGGAACACGTCATCTACTCACAAATCTTCAATTTTTTGGACTCCAACGAATTTTTTCATCCTTCACAGCACGGATTTCGAAAGGGCCTTTCTTGCGAAACCCAATTAGCACAATTCGTTCATGACCTACAGACTAATCTCGACTGTAATATCCAAACCGACTCAATATTCCTTGATTTTGCAAAAGCTTTCGACAAGGTTCCTCACCAGCGTCTGTTACTGAAACTTTCAAAACTAAACTTGCATCCTAACATCTTCAGGTGGCTTGAGGAGTTTCTAACTAACCGCTCGCAATCTGTCTATCTTAACGGCCACCTGTCTAAACCACTCCCAGTCACCTCAGGCGTCCCACAAGGGTCTGTTCTCGGTCCTCTCCTATTCCTAATATATATTAATGACTTACCATTGCATGTTTTCTGTAACATTCGCATGTTCGCTGACGATTGCGTAATCTATCATACTATTACTAATTGTCATGACCATCACATCCTTCAGAGCAACCTTAACAATATAATAAACTGGTGTAATATTTGGCTAATGACTCTCAACCCCACTAAATGCAAACTCTTGTCCTTCTCTCGTCGTCACAATCCCTCTCGCTTTCAGTATTCTATTTCTAAATCATGTATCGAATTAGTAGAATCGTATAAATATCTAGGAGTCACCCTTTGTTCTAATTTATCATGGCGCGCCCATATTACAAACATCATTTCAGCATCGAACAAAACACTGGGTTTTCTTAAACGCCACCTTCGCCTTTCCCCACCACATGTTAGATTACTCGCGTATAAATCGCTTATAAGACCAAAATTAGAATACGCATCTGCCATCTGGAGCCCCCATCAAGCATACCTAATCACTGCCTTGGAAGGTGTTCAAAATCGGGCCACCCGTTTCATCCATTCCTCATATTCATATGACATCAGCATTTCACCATTGAAGCATGAATCTGGCCTATCACTCCTTTCTTATCGTCGCCGCATTGCTAGCCTAACTCTTTATCATAAGTTTTTTTATTCTTCACTCAATCAAGCTCCTTATATAACAGCCGCCTCACGCATTTCCCACCGCACCAGTCATTCACTTCAAGTTGCCCGCCCGCCATCACGCACCACTACGTTTGCTGCATCGTTTTTCCTCAGAGCAGCTTCAGACTGGAACGGCCTGCCCTACGACATTGTCACAATTGCCTCATCATCTACCTTCCTGGAACGCCTCACCGATCATCTGCCATGTTAATTCAATTTTTTGTTTGCAATGTTAATTGAATCTCCGCTGTTTTGAATTGTAATCCCACCCCTTATGTAACACCCCCTGAATGGGGGCCTTTAAGGAAATAAAACTGAACTGAACTGAACTATTTCAGCTGTCAGCTTGTATTAAGTTAACGTGCTACGTGACGCCAATAGGCTCATAAAAAGTGTGCCACACTCGCCTCCATGGCTATAGGTGTCACTGACTGACACTCCCACGTTTAAATTGACATAAATACCTAATAAAGTGGCTGGGGGGGATAGCTGTCGTAGTAGATCAGTGGTAGAGCATCGAACGCGTTACTCGAAGGTTGCAAGTTCGGTTCCTGCTCACGGCAAGTCATGTTTTCACCAACATTTATTTCTTCCAATTTACATTACAATTAGGTCTAATAACTTCTCCTATACAGTCTTTGGCATTATTGTCTGTTAGATCTCATTTATATTGTGTCAAAACACACAAAACGCGCCCTAAGTATGCAATTCTTAAAGATATATATATATATATATATATATATATATATATATATATATATATATATATATATATATATATATATATATATATATAATTAAGAATAAAGGAGCACACTTACGAAATTTTGATAATTGTTTACTCTACGTTTCGGCCATGGCACGGCCTTCGTCAGGATAATATATATATATATATATATATATATATATATATAAAATAAGGGAGAGAAGTGTATACCTAAGGGCTCGTATTTTCGTGTTTTAACACAATAATAATGAGATATAACAGACAGTAATGCCAAGGAATGTAAATAAGAAGAAAGAAGAAAGAAAAGTGCATGAAAAAATTACCAGCTGTGAGCATATATATATATATATATATATATATATATATATATATATATATATATATATATATATATATATATATATATATATATATATATATACATATATATATATACATATTTTTTAAAGAATCAAAAAACCGCCGCAGTGGTCTAGTGGCTAAGGTACTCGGCTACTGACCAGCAGGTCGCGGGATCGAATCCCGGCTGCGGCGGCTGCACTTTCGATGGAGGCGAAAATGTCGTAGGTCTGTGTGCTCAGATTTGGGTGCACTTTAATAACTCCAGGTGGTCCAAATTTCCGGAGCCCTCCACTACGGCGTCTCTCATAATCATATAGTCGTGTTGGGACGTTAAAATCCCACATATCGATCAATATTCTGCGAATCCAGTGCTTTCTATGCGTTGAGAAACGACGGTTGAAAGTGCGAAAATGTGTATTACTTTCAACGTTTCGGCAGGAAGACCTGCTTTCGTCGGGGAATACCCTTTGTTAGGTATTTCCTCACGAAGGCAGGCCCTGCTGTCGAAACTTTATAAGTAATAAACATTTTCGCACGTTCGTTCATCGTTTCTCAAGAAATGTGTCCACTATTATTGAAAAGTTTCGGAAATGTGGTTTCAGCGTGCTATCAGCGGCGTTCAATTTACTTTGGCCGTAGGCATCTCCAGGTGCGTGCAAACTTGACTTCAGCCAGTATATATAAAAATGACCACAATGAACGCTTAAACCAGTGTAAATAGACGGTCAAGTTCAATGGAGGTATTCAAGTCCTTCTTCCGAATTGTAGAAAGCCTCTTCAAAATTAGTCAAAAGCCGCCACTGGTAATCACCGCAGGACGATCAAATCTGCCCAGTTTAGCAGGATAAACCGAGATCTACACAACAAATATGGCATCTGCCAATAATTTCGAAACACCCTCATTGAGGACACTATTTCTCTCGCATTAGGGGAGAAGTATAAGCGAACGTCTGTAAGGGGTCATTGGGTATGAAAGCGCTGCGACGAAACAAAACATGTAGATTGACGGTTCTATATTGACAGCAAGTAGATTCATAAGAGAGGGGAAGTGGTGTCGTCATTAAGGGCGTTTTTTATCTGAATGGTTGATGCACTGCTTGGTGCGTTTCTTTCGGTATTGACCTGCTAAATTAGCCACATTCCATCATACTGTCGTCATTACTGGTGGCCCATTTGCGGAAATTTCAAAGTGGTTATGGATTATACGAACGAAATATTTAAATGCGCCCATTTAACTAGAGGGCTTATTTCCGCTTGTTAAAATGTTCATTGTCCTAATTACTATGCCTTCTGTCATATTATTGCTTGTGTTGACTGAAGAAAAGTATCGCCGCCGTAAAGGGAACGCCGCAGGCAACATGCAGGTGCCATCTTACTGTAATTTTTAAAAAAAATTGTGGACATATTTTCTAAAGCACCCTGTATAAAGTCTCGAAACATGTCCAAATTTATCAGAAAAGGGAAATGCTACATTCAATTGCGGCCTTCATAATTGGTACTTCTGACGTGACAGCTAGTTTAATTTAACAACGGAGGATTAGGATATGACGACGATGATGACGCCAAAGCCCGCCAAGAGTGTCCTTATAGTTGCTGTCGCAATAAAAACACGTGTTTTCTGCTCCAAATTTTCGATTATATTTTTGTAAGAACAATGTGCAAAAATATAAAAATTTCAATTGATTGTCTAAAGAAATATTTCAGTAGAAATAAGCAGCTAATGCACTTGACGCTGTATACGCCACATGTAGAGTCACATCGCAGGGATGTTAGCCGGTACAGACAATTGTGGGCTGCAAATGCAGGCGCCGACTCCACAGGCTTGCTTCTTGCGGACTTACCGGTCCGACAGTGTTGAGAACCAGGCGCGTTCTCTGGGCCATGGCAAGCAGTGAGGCGTTGTCCTCCACGTTAGCCACGATGATAGGCACTCTGTCCAGGGCATCCTCTGCGCACAGCAGTTTGCCATATTAAAATGACGAAATGATTTACCCTTGAGCGGCCATCCACGTAAGAGCACAAAGCCGGCCATTGCACGCTAATATGAACTAAACCTTAAATTTGCAGCTCTAATGGCATCCTTAATTTGTGAGGGAGGTTTCTACCTGCTTGCGTACTATGATTGCCATCACATACCCTCCTTTTTTATTTCTTTTCTCCTAAAAACCTTCCATGCTGCCAGATAAAAAGGCTGGCCTGCAGGCGTGTTCTGTAAGTAATAACATGAGTGATATGATTTATTTCTGGAGTTTAACGTCCCTAAACCACCATATGATTATGAGAGACGCCGTAGTAGAGGGCTCCGGAAACTTCGACTTCTGGGGTTTTTTAATGTGCACCCAAATCTGAGTACACTGTAAGTAATAACATGTTATATGTAACAAAAGTCACTCCTGTGTAATATGAAGGTTGTAAAATGACGGCCATAACGATCCCCTAACTGAAGAAGCAAGCAAATGGTCCAAATGATATGGGAACTTCCATGTTTGTGAATATGTTTCCTTCTTTCGTAAAAGAGCCAAATCTGTCAAACAAAACTGGGCTAAATTTTAACGCAATGTAAAGCATGCCTTAGTGTCTCTTACGTTTATCTCTCTTTTTCGTTATCTAAAACAGCCATAATTAAAATGGTGCAATTCATAATTGTAACTAAAAAATGAATTTCTCACCGCAGGAGAGCCTAATCTGACAGCTTTTTGAATAAGCTGACTCCGAGGCAATAAATCAGCATTGTGTGAACAATTGGGACCGAAGGAACCAACGTGGCCGCATCCAGTCTGTTTGATGTGTGACGAAGTTACTTTTCCAGATGATAGTCTTTCTTAGAATACTTGTGTGTACAGGCAAAGTGTTTAAGAAATAAGAGTACTTGGTTTTTTACTAAGGGAGAACAGCAATCCTTCCCAGTTACGTGAAATCAGGGTACATGGAATGGCAGCATACATCGACGCAAAAATTTTCATCTTTCTGTTCGTGTCTGTCCACTGATTCAGCCACGGTGCAAGTTTACGGTTTCCTTAAAGTCCACCTATCATGATCTGGTCGCTGCGTTCATACTTGTAACATTGCTGATCAAAAAGCAACTATTACGCATATTTTAGGCGCAGCATCAATCAAAAATTGTTAGGCAGGGTGTCATTTCATTTAGAAAATACATAAATAGGTACACGAATCATTGTTCGATAAACTACATAGATACATCGATATATTTTTTTTAGAAACTAGCTTAAAAACTTGCTAGATACTATATGAGCAAGATAGAATTCTAATGTTTCACTAGCAGCCAGACCACACTTCTGACAGCTATACGGTCGGCCAAAAATTGTAATCTAGCGAGAAAAAAAGATATCTTGACCACACTGGGTCACCCAGTGATGTCACCTACCAGTGGCTCTCCGGTCTCAAAAGCACTTTCGTATCTTCCCATTACTTCCAGATGACGCCATGTAATGATGATGAAGAAGAGGATGACCTCATATGAATGGCGCTCACCCACAAAGGGGGATGAGCCGAAGATCGTGCACCAGGATATATCTCACGCAGCGCCCCCAAACAGAAGACTGTTGTGTAATACTACCCAAGATAGAGCGCGTGTCGTATATAAGATAAGATGCACATGGAAGTGTCTGGCTCTCTGACGTCACTGTTAAGTTCTTTGTTAGATATAAGACGCCGCGGGTGTGCGGTGCGACGCTTTTCCGTTGTATTGCTCGTTGAAATAAACATGTGTGTGTTGGCTAGTCGGCTCCCAAGTTGTGAAGACATAACAGTGGCGACGAGGGTGGGATGATACTCGGGCACGTTAGCCGGGCCTCGGCTGTAGCTCACGTCACGGCACCAGTATTCTAGGAGCGGAAAGCGTCCTGGTGGATTACCACGACATGGCTTCCTTTGGCCGGTTTGAGCCGTTCACGGAAGAGGGAGACGAAGACTTCGACTCATATGCGGAACGCTTTGAACATTACGTCCGGGCGACCCAGGTCAGTGAAGACTTGAAGGTGTCAGTCTTTGTCACCGCCATTGGAAAACAGGCCTACCGCACGTTGAAGAATTTATTGGCCCCGACCAAGCCGGAAGAGAAAACGTACGACGAACTGCTCCAAATACTGAAAGGGCACTATTCCCCGAAGCCTTTGGTGATAGCGGAAAGATTCCGGTTCAACCGTCGGTCGCAGCGGGAAAATGAGTCAGTTGCCGCATTTGCGTTAGAATTAAAAAGGCTGGCTGGATCGTGCGAGTTCGGCCAATTCTTGGATGACGCCCTGCGGGATCGGTTCGTGGCCGGACTGAGAGATGAAACGGCACAAGCAGAGCTGCTTAAGAAGAGTACCCTGACGTTTCAAGCTGCCTATGACCTGGCGAAAAGTGGGGAACTCGCTCGCACAGAAACCAGAAAAATTCACCCCAAAGAACTCGGTGACGTGAACTTGGTGCGGCCACACCACCCCCAACGGTCCACAGGTACGAAAAGGGGCGTGAGCGGTAACGCGGAGCGGCATGCCGAGGCGACGGACTGTTCGCGTTGCGGAGCAGCGCATGACGCCACCACCTGCCCTTTTCGCAAATATCGATGTCGTGCCTGCAAAAAGGTGGGACACCTGGCAAGGGTCTGCAGAACAACGCCACGTTCGGTGCATTCTCTCATCGATGGTACTGGCTTAGAAGACTCTGGTGACTGGGACGATAAAAGTGGTGAGAACGAGGTCTTGCTTAGTCATATTTTTTCATGTCGGAGTAGTCACGGTGGCTACGCTGTGAAAGTTAAGATCGCAGGCAGGAATGTCACGATGCAGGTTGATACCGGAGCCTCTGTGTCTATTGTGCCAGAAAAAATGTACAGACAGTATTGGCCGAATGTACCCCTAGAAAGATGTAGTTTACGGTTAAAAACGTATGGCGGTTCCACACTAGCAGTTGCCGGAAAGTTGACGGTGCATGTAGAGCACGACGGGCAAACCGAGACCTTGCCGTTGATTGTAGTCCGGACGGAAAAAAATTGTGACACTTTGTTGTTGGGCCGCAACTGGCTAGAGGCTTTGAAGCTGAATTGGGCAAGCGTGTGTAATATCAACTTTGATAAAGCAAACACACATGATAGATCAGCCGCACTCATCGAAAAATTTTCGGAAGTGTTTAATCAATCACTAGGACTGATAGCTGACACGTCGGTCAAACTGGTGCTAAAAGACAGCTGTACGCCTGTTTTCTGCAAACATCGGCCTGTGCCATTCGCACTCCGGAACGCGGTAGCGTCGGAGTTGCAGTCGCTAGTGGAATCTGGAGTACTGGTTCCAGTAAAACACAGTGAATGGGCAACGCCTCTAGTAGTTGTCCCCAAGGCAAACAACAAAGTGCGAATATGCGGAGACTACAAAGTGACCCTAAACCGTTGTCTGAGAACTGATTATTACCCTCTGCCAACAATGGAAGATACGTTTGTAGCGCTGCATGGATGCAAGTGGTTTACTGTCCTTGACCTGTCGACAGCGTACCAACAGTTGCAGCTGCACCCCGAGTCGCAACCCTTGGTCACTGTCAACACCCACCTAGGCCTTTTTCAATATACACGTATGCCGTACGGTATAACAAGTGCTCCATCCATTTTCCAAGCGGTAATGGATGATATGCTGAAGGGGTTGGACAGAGTGTCATGTTATCTTGATGATGTGTTAATAGCGGGGGAAACGATGGAAGAGTGTTATGATAGGGTGGAAGCTGTGCTGACAAGGTTCCAGGAACGAGGGGTGAAATTGCGGAAAGAAAAATGCAAGTTTTTTGAGAAGTCTGTGACTTATTTGGGGCACGTGATTGGGGAAAGCGGAATCCGCCCTTCAGAGGACAAGGTGCGTGCTATAAAAGAAGCACCGACTCCAAAGAACAAGAATGAGTTGAGGGCTTACCTAGGCTTGATAAATTTCTATGGGAAGTTCGTACCGAACATGTCAGCACAACTTAAGCCATTGCATGACTTGCTAGCTGTGAATGCCAAGTGGGAATGGACGGAGGTCGCCGAAAAAGCCTTCAAAGCATCCAAGAGCTGGTTGCTGAGCACGTCCGTACTCACCTACTATAACCCTTCAAGGGAGCTAGGGCTCGTTTGTGACGCATCTGCGTATGGTTTAGGCGCAGTCCTTTTTCACAAGGTAGGATCAGAAGAAAGGCCAATCGCTTTTGCCTCTAGAACGCTCACTAAAACAGAGCAGGCGTACGCCCATATCGAAAAAGAAGCACTGGCTGTCGTGTACGGGTTAAAGAAGTTTCACAAGTACCTTTTTGGGCGAAAATTTGTAATATACTCAGACCATCAGCCCTTGGCGGGATTATTGGGAGAGGATAGGCCGATTCCTGCGATGTCAGCGGCACGCGTGCAGCGATGGGCTCTGCAGATTGCTGCGTATGAGTACAAATGGGTTTATCGCAAATCACGCGATATAGGCAATGCAGACGCACTATCGCGCCTGCCGCTTCGGAACTCTGATGACGTGTCGGAGTACATCGGCTTTTCGATGCTAGACGAGCTCCCACTCTCCGCAGAACACATCAGAAGGGAAACGAGAACAGACAGCCTGTTGTCAAAAGTGTTGTTTTACACGCAGAGCGGTTGGCCTTCAAAAGTGTCTGACGATGCACTGGCGCCCTATTTTGTGCGACGCCACGAGCTTTCTGTTGACAGAGAATGTGTGACGTGGGGAAACCGGGTGATAGTACCATTGTCTCTCCGCGACAAAGTGCTATCACTGTTGCACGAGGGCCATCCTGGAATGGCACGTATGAAAATGCTGTCTAGAAGCCACGTATGGTGGCCTCGCCTTACGCCGGATGTTGAGCAAAAAGTTAAAGAATGTGTAACATGCCAGTTGACGCAAAATGCGGCGCCCAAGGTTCCGGTGATGTCATGGGGAGTGGCGGGGCGCCGGTGGGAGCGTGTGCACTTAGATTTTGCGCATC